GGCGGGCCCGACGGGGCGCGCGCGTTCGACGAGGAGCTGGGCCGGTTCAGGCGGCTGCGGGCGGCGGTGCAAACCTCGTGCGCCCGGTGAGAGACGGTAGCGGGAGAGCGGGGCAGCTGAGGGGGGTGAGAGGCAGCCCTTGCTCGTACCTCACCGTGTTCTCTGCGAGCAGGTGCGAGCGGGCGGGGACCGCAGCTTGCCTCGCTGCCGGGCGCCGCGCACCGCGGCACGCGCCGCCTCACTTTTGCTGGCAATTGCAGCAGGAAAGCTCTCTGCCAGAGCAGTGTGTCCGTGGGTCTCGGCGGCGCCTTTGGGTAGACCTCTCGGCGGCCGGTTGTGCTCTAGGACACCTCGACGTGGAGCGAGCACTTCTTCGTGCGCCTCGCGCTTCGTTTCGACGCCGCCGCGTCGGTGAGGGACGGCGCGGCGGCGACGGCGGCGTCTGGCGCAAGCTCGCCTGCTGACAGCAGCGAGGTTGGCATCCGGACTGGGAACGTGCGCTGGTGGCGCTGCCGGGACAGGCGGGCGTTGCGAGCCGCGTGCTGGCAGCCGCGAAAGGCAAAGCCAAAGGCGGGCAAGGCGATGGGGAGCTGGCTGTTGAGGCGGGGAGGTTCTGCGTGGGATTGCCTCTGTCGTTGGTCGTGACTTTAAAAACTCTCGTGACTCGTGGGTCGTCGCACACGATCTCTCGCGTCTCGGGGTCTGAGGAACGGGAATAAATCGCGGCGCGCGCGCGGCGCGCGCAGCGCGCCACCACCACGGGCGCGGGGACCTGTTCCTTTTTACCCACCTCACAGTAGAGAGGTGTCCGTTTTTATTATTTATTGTTTATTTATTTACCGCGGATCCAAGAAGAAGAGAAAGCGCGCGCTCCTGCTGAGCAAGGGCACCATCATCATCACGATCCTCATCACCAAGATACAGGCCGCTGCGCGCGGCCTCAACACTCGCACTTCTCTGAACAACTTCTTCAAGGCCTGCCCGCCTAGCGGGCGCACCGCCGACCTCTTCCTCAGCCGCGTCTATGGCGGCCACGAGGGCGGGCGGCGGCGCGGCGGCGGCTACGTCGTCGATTTCATCTACTGTTTACGCTCCACAAGTCTTCCTCTCCCCTTCTCGGAAGCGTTGGCCCGTTTCCCTCTCGAAATCTACAACCCTTACGGCACAGTGCGCGGCTGCGACGGAACCATCGGGTTCCGCCACCAACGCGAGGCCACCGGAGAGCAGCTGTGCCTGCCTCCGCCCTCGTCCCCCTCCTCCCCCCGTGAGTCGCCCTGCCCCAGCCGTCCAGAGCACGACCTCTGGCGGGCCAGCCAGTCACTTGATGACACCTCGATGGGCACCAAGAAGAAGGCAAAACAAGGCAAGAAGCACAGGCGGCGGCGCAGAAGGCTGCGGCGGCGGCGGCCGCTGCAGAGGCGGCTGCTCAGGCGGCTGCTCAGGCCGCTCAGGCGGCCGCTCTCGGACGGTACAGGTTGGTCAACGCTTGGTACTACCCTCGCGGCGACTGGTACACCTTCTACTGGGACGGCAGCACGGCCGACAAGGTCGCAAGGCGCGCTACCTACCCGACGCTCGAGCACGACGACCACGACCCCGGCCCCCTCGCAGAGCGCATCAGGCGCGACAAGCGCGAGTTCTCCATTTTCGGCGCAGAGCGCATCAGGCGCGACAAGCGCGAGTTCTCCGGCCGCTCCTCCGACGACTCCTCCTCCGACCGCGACTCATGCGGCACCGGCTCCACTAGCGAGGCGAATGACATATTCGACACCCTCGAAGACCATCTCGGCTACGGTTCCGACTCCGGCTCCGGCTGGTAGTCGACAAGCTGCCGAGCGCAAATCACTCTGTGTGACACATTTCTTGTTGGCTTCTAAAAATCTCTCTCTCGGATCCACGGTACTCCACGCACAGTCCACCGCGAAACTTTTTAAACCAAACAGAGTAAAGTCAAAGAAAAAGGTGCGGTGTGAGTGTGTGCGTGTTATGTGGCTACAGCAAGTGTCCGTCCGTCTGTATTATTATTAACAGGTAGGTAGGTAGGTAGAAAGGTGAAGAACAGCCAGGCTCGGACTGGACACCAACGCGGTATGGGTGGACGCTGGACAGATGATGACGACACGCACGAGCGACACACAGACACAAACAAGCTCACAAGACACACAGCCAGCTGGCTGACACACACCCTGAGTTGGCGTACACATAACTCAAGGCCACATCCTCCCTGTCGCCCCCCCCAGC